GCTCAGAGCCTCATGTGCTGTAATAGCTGAAATAGGAGTGGAGAAACTATGAACGAATCTGCCTGCCTCTTGTCTTTGTATGGCCTGTGAATTAAGAATGGTTGAAACCTTCGTAAGTAGTCGAACAAAATATAAAGAAAAATAATATTTTGTGACATGGGAAAATGATATGACATTTTAATTTCATTATCCATAAAGAAGGCTTGTTGGAATTTAACCATACCCAGTCATTCCCATATTGACATGGTAGCTTCAGAGTTGAATGTGGCAGGAACCTGATGACCTGCTAACCCTAAAATATTTACTATTTCACTCATCAGTCAAAGCCTGAGCTGGAAGAAGCCCTTGCTGAGGCACCGTGAAGGGTGCATACCTGAGAAGTATTTGGAACAAAAGAGACCAATTCCTTTTTCTAGATAGATAAGATTTTCTTAAGGTCAATGGCAGTTAACAGGGCAAATAGCAAGGCTGCTTCTGTGTCCCTGTTCCCAGCCTCTGTGTCAGCATTCATTACATTGTGAAGGTTATAGATCCAGTTTGGTTATTTAGTCGTACTGTTTGTCTTTTGAGTTTTTACTAACAAGTTGATAAATTACTACTGGCACCACTTTTCCAAAATAGTGTTTAACCCGAGTTAAATATTTCAGCTAGAGGTACAACTAAAGGAATCCCAAAGTGTCCAATTAGTGATATGAAAATGTTTTTAAGGAAAGATCAGCCAGGGGCAGGCATTTGGGGCAGTGGTTAAGGTGCTGGTTAAGACTCCCACGTCTCGTATTGGGTTCCATGCCCGCCTCCAGTTTCCTGCTAATACAGACCCTGGTGAGGCAGCAGACAATGGCTGAAGTAACTGAGCTCCTGGCACACATATGGGAGACCTGCATGGAGTTCCTGGCTCTCAGCTGTGTTTCCAGTTAGGGGCCATTACAGGCATTTGGGGAGTGAGCCAGTGGATGGAAGCTCTGTGTCTCTGCCCCTCAAGTTAAGGGGAAAAAAATTAAATAAATAAAGATCAACCAGAATGTAGAAAATTCCAAGGAGAAAACACAAATGGTGGCTCAGCAATGAGAAGCATTCTAGCAAAATAAAATCCTTCCTGCTAATTCCCCAGTCAGTCACAACATACCAGGCCACGACGTTACATGGGAAAAACTACCATATTCTATAGACAATCTACTGAATTTCACACCTCATAGGAATTCACATGGGAAGTATTTAAAAAAAAATTTATCATCAAATTTATCATAGCAAAAATTTAGTAAAATGTGAAGTATTTGGCATCACACAGCGTGTGCTACATCTGGTTAAAGTAAGTAATCACGTTTTCTTCAATAATCCATTACTGCAATAACATTTGTTTTGGAAAAGGTTAAAAATATTCTTTAGTGCACAGACTTGAACTACTAAGGATAACATGAAATGCAAATCTGGACAACACTCCCAACAGTGATGTTATTTGACCCAGATCCTCTAGAAAGAGAAAGGACGAGGAGTTTTTACAATCTCCAGAACACAGCCTGTAGGTAGTGTTGGAGTTGGTTGATAGTTGGTAAGGGGATGGGACTCTCCTAGCTTAGTCAGCATTACAGTTACAAGCACGCATTTCCAGGGCGTTCAGCAGAACATCCACAGGCCTCCTCGTTGAAATCCTGCCACTGCTGTGCTCCACAACAAACTCCTGTATGTGTGGGTTTGTTGTTCGCTCTAGGTTTGAATTAGAATTCCCTCTCTTACAGCTTGGAGCTAAACTCTGTTTACAAAACAGTATTTACACTTGACTAATTTTGCAGATCAAACTAATTAAATCAATTAAACTGGTGATTAACCAAATGAAGGCTGATTGCAAAAATTAGTGGGTTTATTTTGGAGGACTGGAAGTAAGCTAATTACTGCAGTGATTACTTGAACCTGGAGTACTCTAAATGTGGTATAAATTGAAACCTCATAGTGAATTAGACTGGGAATTCATTACAGTTTAAAGCACCGTTAATACTATTCAGTCTGTTCCTCCTTGGGGAGAATTTCCTCTCTGCGTTTTGTGTACTGATAAACAATCACTTCCATTATGCGCTTTTTACAGTGCAACCCAGTGAAATGAGGTACAGCAAAGAAAAGTTACTATAGAGGGGTATACGGCAGGGCCCGTCAAACTTTAAAGCACACGCACAACACCTGAGCATCATGCTAAAAGGAAGATTATGGTTCAGTCCATTGCAGGGTGGGCCTGGGGTCTGGGGTGGGAGGGGTGTGTGCGTGCACATGTGCATACAAATACATGTGCATGCTGAGACCCTGCCCGTCAGCCTCCTGGGTGATGTTGATGCTGCTGGTTAGCACGCACATGATGCAGCAGACAGATTTTGATGCTCTAGGATGAGATACGGAGAACACACTATCGTTGCTTTCCTTGATGACGACACTGGATTCACTTTTGCTAGAGCTCCCTAAGCAGATAGCCTCGGCATCAGGCAGCTGATTTCAGGAACGGCGACCATGGATGGGTCCTCACTGGGTGGTTTTTCGCACGGTCTTCTCAGGCAGGCATGTTGGTAGCAGAGTATTTATGACCATACATAATGCATTCTACTAATTGGTTTTTAAAGCACATCATCTTAACAAAATGTGAGTGCTGCTGAGCAGGTGGTCTGCATTTTGCTGATTTAAATATCCCTGAGCTTTCAGTTCTGTTTTGCCTATCTTTCAGACTTATGAGATGGTATTTACAATAATTAAAAAAATACTTAAGGTTCTGTTCAAAAACATAGTTAAGTCTGGGAGAGAGATGTTGATTCTCTGCAAAAATTTAAAGGGAGAGAAAGCAGCTTCCTTGCATAGCCAGCTGGAGGATAGGTATGTCTTTATTTTCAGTTTTGTAGCCACTTTAGAAATTGGGGAAAACAGCTAATTTTCTCAGTAAATCAATGAACCCTTCTTGACACTTGGTTTCCTGTGTGTAGCAGGTTCATAGCAAAAAACACCTTATCCCTACAGGAAGCACCACAACCTTTTGCAAAGACTATGCGTTGCCATTTGATAAGCAGTACCCCCTGTGTGCCAGGGGCTAGAGAGTGCACATTTGAACAAATGAAGACCACAGACCGTGCTTTAATAAGGACAGAGCACTCAGGAAGGGAAGGCTCATCTGGAGAGTGTCCAGCCCGGGAAAGAATGACACTGGCACGGTTAGAAGAAAGAGCTTAACGCCAAGAACAGACTGTACAGGGCTATGATGGATTGCCTGAAAGTTAACCAGAAACACGCTTGGTTGCAAGTCTTGTGGAAATGCTGCTTAGATTATTTTTTGATGTTACCATCATGTGGAAGTCCTTGTATTTTCCTTGGTGCTTGCAGACTGCCAAGCTCCCCTGAGCATGCACAGTTATTGAAGAGTTTGTGGCTGGAAATGGAGAAGGTGCAGGAGACTCAGCTGAGTAACAGCTTTAAAAAATACCAGGGTATAACTTCTCTGTCCAGCTTTCTTCTTCTAGAACTTAAAAAGAGCAAAAACAAATAAAAACTAGAGACTGGAACCTGTACTTGTGTGAAATTTTAGGATAGCAAACTTTGTAGATTTTGTCAACCTGGATTCATTGAAAGACTTTAGAATGAACACTGAACGCTTTTCTTGCCTTATTAAGCAAAGATCTTGAGAGTATTTTTCATTGTTTACTAGTTGACAATATGGAAAATTCTTTAGTATTGGAGATAAAAATAAATGACTAAGCAATTGAGAGACTGCGCAGGCGACATTTGCCTCTGAACTGAGTACCTTCCAGGACTGCATGTTTGGACTTTGTCCATTGACTTGAAGTGGCTCTAATTCTTGGAGACAGATGACAGTAACTGTTACCGTCATACACACAAACACATACACACACACATGCACACACAGAGACAAGTCCAGGTGTACCTGTTTGTAACTCTCCCTTGGGAACCCTTGTATCTTAAAGTTTACATGAGGAGTATCCCTGTCTAGAGAGCAGTGTTTTCATTTCCTGCAAGAAAAGCTAACAGGGGCCTGATTATCTATGCCTTGTTGATATTGGGGGGAGCTTCTCAGTTAAGATACATCGAGGCAGTCTTCCTACCTTAAGGACAGCCTTGCCAAAGAAGCCAGCCCCGGGCAGTCTGGATGTGAGCTATAGCGCCTACCAGGATTTTTCATTTCATTTCTTTTCTTTCTTTCTTTTTTTAAGATTTCATTTATTTATTTGAGAGGCAGAGTTAAAGACAGAGAGAGGGACACAGAAAGAGAGAGGTCTTCTATCCATTAGTTCACTCCCCAAATGGCAGCAATGGCCAGAGGTAGGCTGATCCAAAGCCAGGAACCAGGAGCTTCTTCCAGGTCCCCACGTAGGTGCAGGGGCCTAAGGACTTGGGCCATCCTCTGCTGCTTTCCCAGGCACAGTAGCAGGGAGCTGGATCAGAAGAGGAGCAGCTGGGACACAAACCAGTGCCCATATGGGATGCCAGCGCCACAGGTGGAGGCTTAGCCTATTGCTACAGCGTTGTTTCCCAGGTTGGTTTGTTTGTTTTAAATGAAACAGTCTTTGGTTCCTCTAAATGCCACCACTACATATTCTTACTCTTTTTAAAATGTTTATTTATTTGAAAGAGCAAGAGAGAGAGAGAGAGAGAGAGACTGAACTTTGATCTACTGGTTCACTCTCCCAAAGCCCACAACAGCTAGGGCTGGGCAAGGCTGAAACCAAGAGCCAGAAACTCCATCCGGGTCTCTCATGTGGATGGCAGGGACCCAAATACTTGAGCTGTCATCTGCTGCCTCCCAGGATCTGCACTAGAAGGAAGATGACTGGAAGTTGAGGCAGGGTTCATTCCCAGGTACTCCTGCATGGGATGCAGGCACTCCAAGCAGTGGCTTAACCTGCTGCTCCACAACACCCATCCCCATCCATCTTCCTCTTAACGAAATGCAGCGATGCTGATTAAGTTGATGTCTATTAACTCTAAGTCCATGCCTCATCTACCTTTCAGAAACGCATCTCAGATCACCTTGACCGAGTTTTGCATCTTCCCTCGACAGTCTGCTTTACTCCCAGGGTTAGTCACACAGTGTGGGAACTGGTCCTCTGCCTCCCAGAGACGCAGTCGCCTGATTGTCATCTCTATTTGTGATGAGTGGCACACTTTTTGTGACTCACAGGTAAAGTTAGCAATGAGAAAACTTTCAGTAGTATACTACCTCCTGTCCCTTTCTGTCTCTGATTAAGAAGATACCGTGTAGGGCATTGGAATCACTGCTTTATTTGCCTCTGCCTAACAGGTGGGGTAGAAGTGGAGCCCAGTCTTAGAGATGCGAGTCCCACGTTGTTCTGAGGAGTGTCTACTTCATGATGGACTGCCTGCAGTGTGGCTTCCTCCTCCCCTCCTTGCCAACACAGACTCAAGTTCATCCAGGTGCTGATTCCTCAGGGAACAGAACCACAGCCCAAGGGTAAGTCTTGAGTACACCAGGCCTGGTCATCTCATCTCTGTTGCCCATGACGAGCTAGGCGAAGGCACATGGCTGAGTTTTAACCAATGCAGCTGGAGGAGAGGTTTGGAAGGGGCTTCTAGAAACCATACCCTCTAGAATAAACGACCCACTTCTTCCTGTGGAGGTGTCCCAGTTTCTGCTGCTCCACAGTGTGTCCCCCTGCCCCGACCGAGGGCAAAGCCTACTTGTTGATGTGGGCAGAGGGAAAAGATGAAAAGTACCTGTACTCCTCACTGCACCACCAGGCTGCAGGTGGAGCTGCCCAACTCAGGATTTCCCCATCATCTGGTACATTTTCATGTCTGATTAAGCCATGTGCATTACAGTTTGTGTTAGGCACAGCTAAAAGCCAAAGAGCAGGCAGTCATGGTGTGGCCGAGTAAGCTTCTGCTTGTGATGCAGTGCAGGCCCAAGCACTGGGGATGTTTTCTGCTGCCTTCCCAGGCTCATTAGAAAGAAGCTGGATTGGAAGCAGAGCAGCTGAGACTTGAACTGGAACTCCACACTGTTTTCCGCAATGGCTGCACTAATTTACGTTCCCACCCACAGTGTATAAGTGTTCCCCTTTGTCCACATCCTTGTCAGCATTTGTTACTTTCTGTGTTTTGGATTTTAGCCATTCTGATGGGGTGAGGTGATGTCTCATTGTGGTTTTGATTTGCATTTCCCTGATGGCTAGTGATGTTGAGCATTTTTTATATATTTGTTGGCTATTTATATTTCTTCTTTTGAGAACTGTCTATTGAAATCTTTTCCCCGTTCCTCAACTGGATTGGTTGTTTTCCTATTGTTGAGTTTTTAAGTTTCTGATATTTTCAGGATATTAATCCTTTGTCAGATAGGTGGTTTGCAAAGATTTTTTCCCATTCTGTTGGATGTCTCTTCATTCTATTGATTGTTTCCTTTGCTGGGCACAAGTGTTTGAGTTTGATATACTCCCAACTGTTTAGTTTTGTTTTTGTTGCCTGTGCTTTGGGGATCTTGTCGAAGAAGTTGTCCCCTGTACCAATGTCTTGGAGCATTTCCCCTATGTTTTCTTCCAGCAACTTCATCATCTTATATTTTGGTCTTTGATCCATCTTGAGTTGATTTTTGTATGTGGTGAGAGGTATGAATGTAATTTCATTCTTCTACATATATACATCCAGTTTTCCTAGCACTATTTGTTGAGATTATCCTCACTCCACTGTATGACCTGAGTACCTTTATCAAAAATCAATTGGCTTGGCTGGCATTGCAGCTCACTAGGATAATCCTCCACCTGCGGCGCCCAGGTTCTAGTCCCGGTTGGGGCGCCAGATTCTGTCCCAGTTGCTTCTCTTCCAATCTAGCTCTCTGCTGTTGCCCGGGAGTGCAGTGGAGGATGGCCCAAGTGCTTGGGCCCTGCACCTGCATGGGAGACCAGGAGGAAGCACCTGGCTCCTGGCTTCAGATCTGTGAAGCCATTTGGGGGGTGAACGAATGGAAGGAAGACCTTTCTCTCTGTCTCTTTCTCACTGTCTAACTTTGCCTGTCAAAAAAAATATCAATTGGCTGTATATCTATGGATTAATTTCTGAGCTGTCTATTCTGTTCCATTTGTCTATGTATTGGTTTTTATGTCAGTACAAAGCTGTTTTAATTACTATAGATTTGTAGTATGCTTTGAAATGAGGTATTACAATGCCTCCTGCTTAGTTTTTCTTGCTCAGGATTGCTTTGGCTATTTGGGGTCTTTTGTGATTCCACATGAATTTTAAGGTTGTTTTTCTAACTCTGTAAAGAATGCTGATAAAATTTTGATAGGGATTGCACTGATTCTGTAAATTTCTTTAGGTAGTATAGACATTTTTGTGATATTGATTCTTCTAATCCATGAGCAAGGAATATATTTCCATTTTTTTCATCTTCGATGATTTCTTTCATCAGCGTTTGATAATTTTCATTGTAGAGATCTTTCACTTTTTTAATTAAATTTATTCCTAAATGTTTGATTTTTTTTTTGTGGCTGTTGTGAATGGAATTTCTTTCTTGATTTCTCTTTCTGTGAATTAGCATTACATGTGTAGTCTTAGCATACAAAAAAGCTACCATTTTTTGTGTGTTTATTTTGTAACCTGCAATTTTACTGAATTGGTTTATCAGTTCAAACAGTTTTTTTGGTGGGATTTTTGGGTTTTTCCATGTACAATGTCATGTCATCTGTAAACATGCAGAATTTGATTTCATCTTTTCCAATTTTGATGCCCGTTATTTCTTTGTCCTCTCTGATTCCTCTTGCTAAAACTTATAGTACTATATTGAATAAGAGTGGTTAAAGTGAACATCTTTGTCTTGTTCCAGATCTGAGGGGAAATACTTTCAGTTTTTTCCCATTCAGTATTATATTGGCTGTTGCTTTGTGATATATAGCCTTAATATATATATAGTTAATATATATAGTTATATATTATATATTATATATTATATAATGCATATTATATAACAATATATAATTATATTATATAACAATATATAATTATATTATATAACAATATATAATTATATATAACAATATACATAATATATATATTGTTATATATATTATATATATTGTTAATATATATTGTTAATGAGAAGACCTTATGATTTTTATTCTTAATTCTATTGATGTGGTTTATGACATTTATTGATGCATGAATGTTGAACCACCCTTGCATTTCTGCGATAAATCCCATTTGATTGTGATGTATGATCTTTTTGATGTGGTTTTGGATTTGATTTGCTAGTATTTTATTGAGAATCTTTGCATCTATGTTCATTAAGGATATAGGTCTGTAGTTTTCATGTTGTGTCTGGCATTGGTATCAAAGTAATGCTGGCCTCGTAAAAAGAGTTTGGCAGAATTTCATCCTGTTTAATATTTTGGAATAGTTTGAAGAGTATTGGAGTTACTTCCTCTTTGCACGTTACATAGAATTCAATAATAAAGTCATCAGGGCCTGCACTTTTCATTGGTGGAAGACTTCTGATTGCTGCTTAAATCTCAATTTTGTCATGGTTTTTTTTAGATTGTTTATATCTTCTTTTTTTATTTTTTTGACAGGCAGAGTGGACAGTGTGAGAGAGAGACAGAGACAAAGGTCTTCCTTTGCTGTTGGTTCACCCTCCAATGGCTGCCGCGGCCGGCATGCTGCAGCCGGCGCACCACGCTGATCCGATGGCAGGAGCCAGATGCTTCTCTTGGTCTCCCATGGGGTGCAGGGCCCAAGCACTTGGGCCATCCTCCACTGCACTCGCAGGCCACAGCAGAGAGCTGGCCTGGAAAAGGCCTAACTCTGCCTTTCAAATAAATAAATAAATATTAAAAAAGAAGATATAGCCGGCACCATGGCTCAATAGGCTAATCCTCTGCCTGCGGTGCTGGTACACTGGGTTCTAGTCCTGGTCGGGGCGCCGGATTCTGTCCCAGTTGCCCCTTTTCTTCAATGACCCGTTGATCATTCATTAGCGTATTGTTTAATTTCCAAGTATTTATGAGTGTTCTGTTGTTCTTCTTGCTGTTGACTTCTAGTTTTATTCCTTTATAGTCTGAGAAGATACCTGGTATGAGTTCAGTGTTTTTAAATTTGCTGAGACTTGCTTTGTGGCCTAATATGTGGTCTGTCCTAGACAATGTTCTATGTGCTAATGAGAAGAATGTGTGTTCTGTAGCTGTTGGGTGAAATGTGCTGTAAATATATGTCAGGTCTCCGCCGGCGCTGCGGCTCACTAGACTAATCCTCCACCTGCGGCGCTGGCACCCGGGGTTCTAGTCCCGGTTGGGGCACCAGATTCTGTCCCGGTTGCTCCTCTTCCAGGCCAGCTCTCTGCTATAGCCCAGGAAGGTAGCGGAGGATGGCTCAAGTCCTTGGGTCCTGCACCTGGCTCCTAGCTTCGGATCAGCGCGGCACACTGGCTGTGGCAGCCATTTGGGGGTGAACCAATGGAAGGGAGACCTTCCTCTCTGTCACTCTCTCTTTCTCTCATTGTCTAACTCTGCCTGTCAAAAAAAAAAAAAAATGTTAAAAAAATATATCAGGTCTCTTTGCCCCATAGTATGTTTCAACTCTAATGTATCTGTTGATTTTTTTTTTCTGGATTATCTGTCCACTGATGAGAGTAGGGTGTTGAAATCACTCATTATTATTCTATTGGGGTCAATCTCTCCCTTTGATTCTGTACATATCTGGGTGATCTTGTGTTGGGTGCATATATATTGACTGTTATGTCTTCTTTTATCAAAATATGATGTCCTTCTTTATTTTTTTTACAGTTTCTAATTTAAAGTCTGTTTTATTCCATATCAGGATAGCTATGCTTGCTTGCTTTTGGTTTCCATTTCCCTGGTATATCTTTTATTTTTCTTTTTTTTTTAAAGATTTATTTTATTTATTTGAAAGACAGAGTTACAGAGAGAGGTAAAGATAGAGTGTCTGGTTCCATGTGCTGGTTCACTCCCCAGATGGCCACAATGGCTGCGCCAATCTGAAGCCAGGAGCCAGGAGCTAGGAGCTTGTTCTGGGTCTCCCATGCGGGTGCAGGAGCCCAAGCACCTGGGCCATCTTCTACTGCTTTCCCAGGTCATAGGAGAAAGCTGGATTGGAAGTGGAGTAGCCGGGATTCAAACCGGTGCCCATATGGGGTGTTAACATAAATTAGGTCAGTAGCACAAGGTGAATCACAACATGTGGTTGCAGGTGTTTAGTTTAGTGGTTAAGACACCACTTGGGAAGACCAAATCCCATATCCCAGTGCCTGGGGTCGAGTCTCAACTCACGTCCCGATTCCAGCTCTCTGCTTATGCACAACCTGAGAGGCAGCTGACAATGCCTCAAGTAATTGGGCCTCTGAGACCCATGCGTAAGACCCAGGTTGAGCTCCTGGCTCTTGGCTTCAGCCCAGCCATTTGTAAAAAAAAAAAGGCAGTTGGGGGAAGTGAACCAATGTATGACAAATTTCTCTCTGTCAGTCTGTCTCTGTGTCTTTCAAATAAATAAATTAATTAATTAAGTTCATGGAAAGCAGAATTAGAATTTTAAAAAATAAGTTATAATATATGGATATATGGATATATCCACAGACCATAATGATGAACATATAACTAGTTAATGACAGTCATGGCAACTTACCATGGGAATAATTACAATTAATAGTGCCAATTCTTGTCAACTGGGGAGATTCTTTTCTGAGCATTCTCTTGGGATCTAACTTATCACAGGTAGTCAGTCCACATCCAACTTGCAGTGCAATGGATTAATTTGTCCTTTGATGTGGTGTGATTTCAGGGATGGAGCTTTTGGAATGTTTCATGAAAGAGCATGCACACAGACATGCTCAGGCAAGATTCCTAAGTGCAGCGTCTGTGAGAGGCATCAGGCTGGGAGCCGAGGAGGATGCGTCCTGTTTAGAGTCTCCTTCCAAGACAACCCCAGGTAAGACATGAATTGAAGGCAGTGACAGACAACCGTGACCTTGTGTGTGAAGAACTGTGCAGGAAGTGTTGCAGCTAAGGTACAGGAAGCAACAGGGGTGCATTTCCACTCTTAGAAAAGCTTGGATTTCCAGCTGTTGAGTTCCAGCTGTTTCAGGACAGGTCTGTGGAGATGGTTCTTGCAGCTACATATCACCAGGCTGTGGGAATTCTATTCAGTACTGTGATTGCGTTTATTTTAGGAGGGGTCTTCAAAAAGTTCATTTAGAAAGTATAAAAAAACTACATGTGGATTTCAAAACCACATGTAGTATTTGATTGCCAAAATAGACTCATCATTTCTTTCTTTTTTAAGGATTTATTTATTTATTTCAAAGGCAGAGTTATGGAGAGTCGGGGGGGGGGGAGAGGGAGAGAGAGAGAGAGAGGTAGAGACAGGTCTTCCATCCACTGGTTCACTCCCCAGATGGCTGCAACGGCTGGAGCTGTGCCGATCTGAAGCCAGGAGCCAGGAGCTTCTTCCGATCTCCCATATGGGTGCAGGGGCCCAACTCCTTGTGCTGCTTTCCCAAGCCACAGCAGAGAGCTAGAATGGAAGAGGAGCAGCTGGGACTAGAGCCGGCACCCATATGGGATGCCGGCGCTTCAGGCCAGGGCTTTAACCCACTGCGCCACAGCACCGACCCCAATTCATCATTTCATGAGCTCTTTGAAGTACCTGCATAACAATTTGCCTCCACATTAATAATTAGACCATTATTAACAAGTAAGGTTTATAAATTAATTCTCACCACCTATTAATAAATTATTAGAAGTGAGAGGGATGGTTTTCATATTGAACCTGGAAAGAAAACTCTCAGTGGATTATTTTGCTTGCTCTGTGTTTGGGCTGATTTTTTAAAATAATGATTTATTTAATTATTTGAAAGACAGAGTTCAGAAAGAGACAGAGACAGAGAGAGAGAGATCTTCCAAATGCTGGTTCACTCCTTAATGGCCAGGGCTGGACCAGGCCGAAACCAGGAGCCAAGAGCTTCCTCTGGGTCTTGCACATGGGTCCAGGGTTCCAAGAACTTGGGCCATCTTCTACTGCTTTCCCAGATGCATTATGAGCAGGGAGCTGGATCAGAGGTGGAGCAGCTGGGACCCAAACTGGTGCCCACATGCGGTGCTGGTGTTGCAGGCAGAGGCTTTGCTGGCTATGCCACAACATCAGCCCTGTGTTTGGGCTGATCTTAAACATAACACCAGGAAACACTAGAGTGCAATGGAAAGAGCACTGCTTGGGAATCAGCAGATGGGGCTTCTGCTTCTGACTGATAATGTGACCTTCGGATGAGTCACTTGGCTTTCCTGTCCTGTAAAATGCAGAAGTATCATTTGTAAGGGTAAATGGGACTAATCAGCTCCAGTGATTCTTCCAGGTCTTTCTTTCAATGATTCCTATATCATTTTGTTCACATCCCAGTTCTGTTTTACCATCGACACTCCTCACCACAAGAGGTGTTTACTGAAAGTATTTACACTTTAGCTTCCTAAAACATAATCATTATTTTCTTTTTTCAAAGATTTATTTTATTTATTATTTGAAAGACACAGTTACAGAGAGAGAGAGATAGAGCTAGAGAGAGAGAGAGAGGTCTTCCACCTGCCGTTTCACCCCTCAAATGGCCACAACGGCTGGAGCTGTGCAGAGCCAAAGCCAGGATCCAGGAGCTTCTTCTGGGTCTCCCAAGCGGGAGCAGGGGCTCAAGGACTTGGCCATTTTCTACGGTTTTCCCAGGCCATAGCAGAGAGCTGGATCAGAAGTGGAGCAGCCAGGACTAGAACCAGCACCCATATGGGATGCCAGTGCTTCAGGCCAGGGCTTTAACCTGCTGTGCCACAGCACTGGCCCCAATCATTATTTTCATATTTGTTCCTTATCAAGCCCTTAAATTGGTACATTATTAACAACAATGCCAGTTACTTAGGAAATTGGGTGATGAAGAGAAAAAAGGCCTTTTTTGGGGTTCCTGGCTGGCCCAGCCTTGGCCCTTCTCCAACTCCCTCCTGTTTACATATACCGCCCCTTTCACCGCACTCCACCTGGCTGCCTGCTGGTCTACTCTTGAATGGACTTTAAAAGGGACACTCTTATAAAGATACTGCTTACTTTGGTGATTACAAAGTTGTTTTTTTTTTTTTTTTTTTTTTTTTTTTTTTTTTTTTTTGACAGGCAGAGTGGACAGTGAGAGAGAAAGGTCTTCCTTTTTGCCGGCGCACTGCGGCTGTTGCACCGCGCTAATCCAATGACAGGAGCCAGGTGCTTCTCCTGGTCTCCCATGGGGTGCAGGGCCCAAGCACTTGGGCCATCCTCCACTGCACTCCCTGGCCACAGCAGAGAGCTGGCCTGGAAGAGGGGCAACCGGGACAGAATCCGGTGCCCCAACTGGGACTAGAACCCGGTGTGCCGGCGCCACAAGGCGGAGGATTAGCCTAGTGAGCCACGGCGCCGGCCCCGATTACAAAGACTTTTAAAAACCTTTTTTTATCCTGAATTCATTTTATATTTACAGAAAAGTTGCAAAGATAGAACAGGGGGTTCTTGTCCATGTCTCACGCAGCTTCCCCTATTGCTAGCATCTTACCACATCCCAGTTTGTCAAAACTGAGAAATTGATAATAGTACAGTACTGTTAATATTTGCTCAGTTCCACTTTTTCATGGACCAATTAGAGAAATCTGATGGGCGGGAATAGGATCGGAGACAGGTCTCAGGTCCCATCAGATAATACCGTTCTCCCCGGTGCACTGCAAGGACTAGCCGGAGAGCAAGTACAGACTACAAGTATGGAACAGCTCCACCTGCGGCCATGAGATCTGCAGATATAGGGAGCTCCAGTGACGAGAAAACCCAGGGTCACAGGGACTGCTGCTAACCCCAATCCAAACACTCCGGATTGTGAGCCAGACTCCAGGTAGTGGAACGAAGACAGCTTTCCAATCCTGCCTCTCACGGACAAGGTGCTCACGTCACCATCCATCACGTCCTCGGTACAGTCCTTTCCTGGAAGATATTGCAGTAGTATTCAAAATGTGCCACATGGCCTGGAGATCCCAAGAGTAATTGTGAGTTATGAGGTCATGGGCACCTCATTGCAAACTATTTGCAAAACTTAATTGGGGTAATAAATAAACTAAGTATGTAAATTAGGTGGGAGACTACAGTGTGAATTAGAAGGGGCCTATTAGCCTGCCTCGTCAAGATGCCTTCTTCCTGTTCTCTAATATTTGCTGAGTAGAACTATTAATTGAGAGAGAGTTACATTAAGATATCTTAGAAGTTCACACCTAAACTAACTTGGAAATAAACCATTTAATGAGATCCTTTCTGGATGAGGATATCGGCTTGATTTTTTTTCTGATTAGGTACTTCCGTCCTTTGCAGATAAAGTATGGTCTGTCATTCACAGCCAAACCCACCTGCCCAATAAAGTATGAATTAATCTTGGCTGGTGTGTTTAGAAGCAAATGCAGAAGCATAAAATCACAGAAGCAGCTCAAGAGGAACGAGCTCTGTTTGTAGTCCTTGTCTCTTCCAGGGAGGAACAGCCTTTTGTTTAGTTTTGCTTTATGTTACTTTGTTTTCTTTCTCTTCATACTATTTGCCAAACTCCTCTACTTAGAGTAGGACTAACTATATAATCACTAAGTAAACTGATAATAGATCATCACAAAAATTAAGAATGGGAATCCGGGAGGGAGGAGGGCTGCAATGTGGTGGGAGGGAGGGAAAACCCCATTGTGTTCCTAAATCTGTATATATGAAATATAGGAAACTTGTATAACTTAAATAAATTTTAAAAAAGCAATGAACCAAGGGAGCCATTCCCAATGGATGAAAACAAACAGAACCATAGGCTTAAATGGACTACCCCTTCCTCCTTTTAAATTTTTTTTTAATTTGTAAACCAGGTGGTCCAAAATAACTTCGGGCCCAACATTTTCCTTTCTTATATCTGAAGAATGAATAAAGGGGCCTCTTGGAGGTAAATATAAATATTAAAAAAATGAGAGAAACTGAAAGCTCAAATACCACGGCTAATCATCCTGCCTATGTCAAGTCTTACAGTGGCTCCCCCCTCCCTGCCTCTTTTTAAGCGGTTGATTGAATGAATACAAACGCCTCTGTGTTGTCACTTGGGATGCCACTTGATATATCCCATTTTCTAGACTCTAATTATTCCATTTGTAGACATGAATGCCATTTAGATGTGAGCTAATTCAGCATGGTAACTCAATTAGATTTGTACCGACTTGGATTTATGAAACATCAATGGGTTCTTGGTGAGACCGATGGGACTGCGGGTGATTCATCCCCAAGTCTCTGAGACACAGCCTCTCAGGAGCTCAATTAAACATGCCAGCCATGAGGACGTTTTTAGCTGGAATGTTTCACAATTAAAATAAAAAAGATTTCTGTGATCCTCCGTGTGCATGGCCCAGCAAAAAGGAAGACCTGTAGTGACACAGCCTGAAGTTTTCCTGTAGGTTAGGTTGTATGTCACCTCCCTGAACCACGGTGAAGGCTGCCGCCCTTGGCTGGGCTCCAGCACAGCTATGTCATTGACTCAGGTCATTGGCCCACCTGGCAAAGGCCACGGAGCTTCACAATTTGCTTCGCATTCAAGGACACTCAATAAATGTTGGTTGAACTAAATTGCTAAATTTGTCGCAGAGCCTGTATCTGCTTCTTGATTCAGAGAGCTGAGAGGCAGAGATGTTGAATTCCAAATTAGATTTACAAAAGTAGGCTAAAGCTCAAAGTGATGAAATTTATGCTAGCTATATTTTTAGCACAAAAATGTAGCCCATGGTGAGAAAACAGGGGGAAAAGGATTTAATCCAGGACTGCCCCGTAACAGAGAGCTTGTACAAAGCACTCTTTCCAAAGAAATGATATTACTGTACTGGGCTTAGAAGGTGTGCCAGTGGGGCCAGCACTGTGGTGTAGCGGGTAAAGCCTGCCTGCAGTGCTGGCATCCTATATGGGTGCCAGTTCGAGTTCTGGCTGCTCCACTTCTGATCCAGCTCTCTGCTATGGCCTGGGAAAGCAGTAGAAGATGGCCCAGGTCCTTGGGCCCCTGTACCTGCATGGGAGATCCAGAGAAAGCTCCTGGATGCTGACTTCAGATCGACCCAGCTCTGGCCATAGTGGCCATTTGGGGAGTGAACCATCGGATGGAAGATCTCTCTCTCTCTCTCTCTCTCTGCCTCTGCCTCTCTGAAGCTCTGCCTTTCAAAAGAATAAACAAATAAATCTTTTAAAAAAAGAAAAAGGAAGGTATCCTTTGTTAAATGCCTGTACCTGATGGAAATATGCCACACACCCCTTCTTCTCAACCACAAGAGTGTTTGAGGATTAAAGGGCTTGCAGATCCTGCCTCCTGGGCATGGTATGGGGTGGGGGAGGGGAAGGGAGGGGAGGAGTCGTTAGAAATATTGTGTGAATCTGTGAGACAACATAATAGGTGTGAACTCACTTTGTCAATGATGAAACACTCTGCAAATGTCTGTTGCATTTCTGATTCAAGGCTGAGATAATATGGAAGACATTCAGGTTTCCAAGACCCGATGAGTGGCAATGCAAAGGGGAAAGAGGTTCCATTTTGAGTTGGACGAAAGTTCCAAAACGTGACCTGTGAAACTACTCCCTGAGCTATCTGATAGTACTGGCCTTGCAGCAGAAGGCTGGAGGCACCAGGGGACGGGATTAATATTATCCAGAGGAAGGGGCTTCTCCAAGCCTGTGTACCAAAACTTCTATAATCTCATGTGGCTTTGATTGGGAATAAAGGTTCAGACTCTAGCATCTGGGCCGTTTTCTGCTGCTTTCCAAAGTGCATTAGCATGGAGCTGGATCAGAAGCGGAGCAGCCAGGACTTTAATCTGATATGGGATGCTGGAGTTGTAGGTGGTGGCTTAGTCCACACTGTGCCACGATGCTGGCCCCAAACAAATTCAGATTTTAATTCCATTTCCCACAAACTTTTTGAAACTCCTTGTATTGTTGGGAACTTTTAAACTCTTCTCTAGTTGTTTTGAAATGGAGAGTTTACTGTTGTAGATATCAGTTGCCTTACTGTGCTATACAGCATCAAACTGTATTTTGATACCCACTATACAATTTCTGCCATCTTGCCTCATTCCTACCAGCATCTAGTGGCCTGTGTCCTGTTCTCTATTTCTGTGTGATCAGCTTTCTTAGCTTCCACAAATGAGTGAGAACATGCAGTGTTCATCTTTCTGTGCCAAGCTTATTTCACTCTTCGTACTCCCCTCCAGTTCCAAAGCTATTCTTGACAGCTAAAATACGAAACCAACTGAGGTGCATGTTGGTGGGTGAATAGATTAGAAAACACAGCAGATGATAGGAACTGGAATATTACTCAGCCATGAAAAGGAGGAAATCATGTCTTCTGCAAAGAGTTCTTGAAGAACCACTTGCAAGAGAGGGGCCGCAAGCTTATTTGGTCTATGTCTTGCACGAATTAACATTTGTATAATTCACTGTAATCTTGCTCTGTTCTCACAGACCAACCATTTGCATTCTGGGAAATGCCATGTCAGGTGATAGAGGCAAGCATCAGAAAGCCCACAGTGCTGGGGCTTAGAGGTGCCAGGTATCCATCATCCTGCTCTGCCATGGACCCTTGTGGATCTGGGTCAGCCGCTGGCTGGCTGGCTGGGCAGCCTTGGGCAATTCAGTCTAGCTTTAATTTCATCCTCTGGACCAATAGTGCTCTCCTCAAAAACTGCTGGAAGCATGAAATAAAATACTTTGTTGGAAATATTTCAAAAACTATTTAACCCAGCCACCACTCCCCCCATGCCTTTTCCCAAGGGTCATACCACCATGCCATTCAGAATTCTTGTCTGTTAGATGCTGTATCTTAGAAACTCACAGTGTGGTTTGGTACCTTCAAGAATCTGAGAAGTCCTGAGAGGTGAATTTTGTCGAAATTTGTTTAATGCAGTGTCTCATAAACTATTTGACCACTGAATTTATTTCTCATGTAATTCCTAATGTTTTATTTTAAGCACTGCATCAGTGTAACTCCTCATCGTTTCATGATGGCCAGGATACCCAACCTCTCCACCCCTCCTGCCTTCTGCCTCAGCTTTCTTCTGTGCTGTAGTGTCCCCCAGATGATGGCAAAGATGACGAGCAGCAGCCCAGGACTCACATTCCACAGCCTGGGACTTCCTGAGGTACAGTCTTCCTCCCCCAGTAATCCAAGAAACAGCACTGATCTCATTGGCAAACTTCTAAGTCGTGTCCAATCTTGACCCCTTCGCTCTGGGCGGGGGAAGGGGTCCTCTAGTTGTTCGGGCCCAGGTTAAATGCTCATTTCTAGAAGGAGCAGGGCCAGTCATATCTAAGCCACGTGGACTGAAAATGACAGCGGCTGGTTCTCAGAAAAGTGATGTTAGACAGGGAGGCTGTCGGGAGTGGTGAAGGAATAGTAGGTGTGCACTATCCACAGGAACACTCACACTGTGCCTTCTCCCTTGTTTCTTCTCACAGGGCAAAGATTCAGAAACGTGGAGAGATCTAAGAATCCCCCACAAAGTTTATTGAAAAACACCCATTCCAGGGCCTCACCTCACCTCCAGGATTCGGATTCCAGATGCCCAGGGATTACCTGTAACCTATGCTTTTTTGCAAGCAGCAGATACAGATGGTCCAAACACCACATTTTGAGAAACACATGCAACAGAAAAATGACAGACTTCTAGCAGCTCTCAGTGTTTACTACAAATCCAAACTACCTGCGGTGTTTCCTCAAAACAGGTGCCTTGGCACTACCTGTAAACCTGAGTAATCAACATTTGCAGGGGTAAGGCTGGCAAACTGTAGTTGTGTGGCCCACCACGGGTGTTTCTGACCACTATAAAGCAGTGATTCTCAAGCTTCACTGTGGGTAGGAATCAGCTGGGGATCTTTAAAAAAAAAATGTTTGGAGGCCAGTGCTGTGGCGCAGCGGGTTAAAGCCCTGGCCTGCAGTGCCAGCATCCCATATGGGTGCCAGTTCTAGTCCCGGCTGCTCCTCTTCCAATCCAGCTCTCTGCTGTGGCCTGAGAAAGCAGTAGAAGATGGCCCAAGTCCTTGCGCCCCTGTACCCATGGGAGACCTAGAAGAAGCTCCTGGCTCCTGGCTTCGGATCAGCGCAGTTCCAGCCATTGTGGTCATCTGGGGAGTGAACCAGCTGATGGAAGACCCCTCTCTCTGCCTCCCTACCTCTCTCTGTAACTCTGTCTTTCAAATAAATAAAATAAATCTTTTTTTTTTTAACAGGCAGAGTGGACAGTGAGAGAGAGAGACAGAGAGAAAGGTCTTCCTTTGCCGTTGGTTCACCCTCCAATGGCCGCCGCGGTTGGCGTGCTGCGGCCTGCGCACCGCGCTGATCCAAAGGCAGGAGCCAGGTGCCTATCCCGGTCTCCCACGGGGTGCAGGGCCCAAGTACTTGGGCCATCCTCCACTGCACTCCTTGGCCACAGAAGAGAGCTGGCCTGGAAGAGGGGCAACCGGGACAGAATCCGGCGCCCCGACCAGGACTGGAACCCGGTGTGCCGGCGCCGCTAGGCAGAGGATTAGCCTATTGAGCCGCGGCGCTGGCCAAAATAAATCTTTTTAAAAAATTTTTTGGTATATATTTAGAAGGTAGGGTGGAGGGGGCGGAGAGAGATGAAACTTTCACCCACTGGTTCACTCCCCAAATATCTACAGCGGGGGCCAAGGCAAAGCCGAGACACTGGAGCTGCATCTGGGGTTCCCACATGGGTGGCAGGGACCCAAGTTCTTGAGCCATCATCTGCCTCCTCCCAGGGTGTTGCACTAGCGGGAACCTGGACTTGCCAGCAGAGCCGGAGCTTGATGCTAGGCTCTCTGTTATGGGTTGTGGATGCCCTAAGCGAGGTTCACCTCTGTGCCACACACCCATGCCTGGAGATTTTCTTAAAATGCAGATTCTGATCCAGTAGTCCCAGGCTGGGGCCCCACGGTTCTGCATCTCAGGTTCTTGGGGCCGTGGCTAGTGGTCCATGGACCACCCTGAGCAGCAAGAAACAGAAGACTGAGAGCCAGCTCTGTATTTGCCCATTTTAAGGCTGTGCCCCGAAGCGTTTACCATCATGTTGGGCAAGCATGGAAAGACGTTCTGTTCGTCATAGGATTGGTTCCTCCTGATATTTCTCATTTTCTTCTGGGATATGCAGAGCTCATCTTCCAGAAGTTAAAAAAGAAGAGAGCCCAGCCCACTACACGCTGCAATGCTCACGTGTATGGTTCCACTTTAACCTGTCACTCTTTCAGGTCTCAACTAGATGCTGGAGAGCCAAAGAAATGTGAGTTCTGGTCCCATAGGGAGCACCTGCTAGGGGTACACAGCCATCCTGGTTGCCTAGGACTGTCCCCTACAGCCTGCCGGTGTGAGCTGCTAGTCACATTGCTTCCGGAGGAGAGGGACATAGACCCTTGACTGTGAGAACCAGGGAGGGGCAGGCAAGCAAGGTTTAAGCTGGCCTTGGGGGCTGACCTGTATTTCCTAGGCTGAGTCGAGATGAGGAGGCAGAGGGCGTTGAAGGCTCAGGGGAAAGCAGGTGCAGAAGCAGAGCTCTGGGCAGAGTGGGACCCCAAATGCTTCGGCTGTCACTCTGTTTTACACCCACCCAACAAAGCTCGGCAGCCTCCATGCAAGGAGTCACTGGGAGGACATTTTCACCCCAGGTGAAGCATTGGCCATGAGACCCCACCCCTTAGCTCTCTCTTAGCTGGCTCTGTTATGTACCAGGGCAAAGGAAAGATTTTCCTGATTGGTTCAGATATTTGTTTGGCCATCCTGTGCCCTGTTTTGGTTCTTCTGTCCATTCAACAAATACGCCTCCACATTTCCTGAGTGCCAGAGGGTTCTAAGCACTTGGCAAAATATCAGCAAACACTCACCTACCCAGTCCTGCTCTCACATAGCATACTTTGCAGAAGGAGAAAAGAACAGTGGGCAGCAAACATTTAAAAAGTGAATTATATATGCTTGCATTATTTATGCTCAAGCCAAAACACCTCCCTTTGGCTTTGTGGTTTTCTACCCTCATCTTCTGTTTGACAAATAAGGAAGCAGGCTCCGGGAAGTCAGCTGTCTCCCCCATGCTCTACACTAGCTAGCAAATAGCTAGGAAAGGATTCCACTCGTGCCTTCTGGCACGCCACCAAGTGCTGTTCCCTCTGCATTTAATGAAAACCTTTGGAGAGAAGTCGGTTTGATTTCAACGGGTATCATCTCTATTGTTCTAATTATTCTTGCTGACTCCTTCAGCAGAGGATTTGTGGGAACATTTTCATTTGTGAGTGGAGCCTAGTGGGTATTAGAATTTCTGAGCTTCTTCCCTGGAAAGTTCAACAGGCTTGCTGTGATACTTTTGAAGTGTTGAGTGTGAATTTCAGGCTCAACAACATTCACAAGCCAAGTGTGCTGACAGATTTTTTGATCATGGTAGGAAGAGTTATGTAAGTGGATGCTTTCCAGAGAGGCACACTCTGCGATTCACATGCTGCAGTTTTCGGAACTGAAGAAGGCAAGAGAGAGAGAGAGAGTGAGAGAGAGAGAGAGAGAGAGAGAGAGGAGGAAGGTACTGGATTTGGGGGCAGAGACCACAGGCAAAACTGCTAATGGGGCCGGCGCCGCGGCTCACTAGGCTAATCCTCCACCTTGCGGCACCAGCACACCGGGTTCTAGTCCCGGTCGGGGCGCCGGATTCTGTCCCGGTTGCCCCTCTTCCAGGCCAGCTCTCTGCTGTGGCCCGAGAGTGCAGTGGAGGATGGCCCAAGTGCTTGGGTCCTGCACCTGCATGGGAGATCAGGATAAGCACCTGGCTCCTGCCTTTGGATCAGCGCAGTGCGCCGGCCGCAGCGCACTGGCAGCGGCGGCCATTGGAGGGTGAACCAACGGCAAAGGAAGACCTTTCTCTCTGTCTCTCTCTCTCACTGTCCACTCTGCCTGTCAAAAAAAAAAAAAAAAAAAAACCTGCTAATGGGAAATTAGACCTGCTGCTCATATGTGATAGGCCCTTTGGTTTTAAACTTCTGAGCAAGGCATTCATTTGAATCAAGAGCTAAAGGAAGGCTTTACAATCCAAAATAATTTCTGCTAGGATGCAAAACCCAGGGGAAGGAATGCAAACTTTGTAATGTCAGTGTATGCCCAGAAGCTAAACATGACTATGGTCAATGCAGGCTTTGAATCTGCCAGGTAGATGCAGGTTCCTTGCACATCCAACTGCCCCTAGCAGTAGATGCAGGAGCCTGGCAACTATTTGCTTGGCAGCACCATAAACTTTGGCCTAATATTGGGCATCCTTGGGCTATGAACTTGAGGGGTGAGCTTCCTTCCAGGGCACACCTTGGCCCAGAGAGCTGTGGTCTTCTCCAACCCCTTACCATGACTGTGTCGTCACCACCACTCCTGATTATTTGAACCCCAAGCCCAGAGGGACTGAGGTCCCATCTTGAAGGCAGCTCACGCCTTCCCAAAGGTAGAGCTGGCTCCTGGGCCCCAGCAGGTGGTTCCAGTCCACTTCTGGCCCATCTTCCCCGGGCATCACCACACTGCCACCTGCTGGTGGTTCAAGTGTGCTCACTCAGCAGTTAGGGCTCTGCCCTCTCTGCTGGATGCCCAGACTCTCTGGAGAGATGGGATGCCTGCCCACTCCACCCTAACCCCTTGGGATGGGCTCCTGGTTGCAGCCAAACATGGGGTTGGTGCCTTTACTCACCATTCTCCCACCAACAACCTGAAGTTCCACCAAGTCTTGTGGATGAAGTCATGTAAAGTAAGGCAGTCAACAAGATTAATTTTGATTATTGTAATTACCATAATTATCATTCACGGAATGAAGGCTTTGTTATCAGCTGTGTGACCTTAGATAAGCTACTTTACCTCTCTGATCCCCATTTTTCTTATCTATAATGTGGAGATACAGCAGGACTTGTCTTATTCTGAAATTAGGTCATAGTAGTTCCTACCTGATTCTGACATTGTTTAACCAGGTGGCTCCTGAGTTTGAAGTTGGCTGTGCCTATCAAGTGCTTGGTAGTTGTTGTCAGCTGTGAGTGCACACCTTGCCAGTGTGTGCAATTGTGCACTAACCAGTAGTAGCATGGACCAGGCCTCTCCGCAGAGCCTTTGCCAGTATTACCTTTCTCATTCTGAAAACACATCAGGTAAGCAGTATTATGCCCCTTTCACATATAAAGAAACTCAAGCTGGAGGCTTCTCACTCATGCCTCAGAGTCACACATTTGGGAAGTGGCTACACAAGCGCCGGTGAGCTTGACTCCAAGCCTGACCTCTGAAGTCAAGAAGATCCGGAAGACAATGAGGGGACGGTGCTGTGGTGTAGTGGGCTAAGGCTCTGCCTGCAGCACGGGCATGGCATATGGGCACCGGTTCGAGTCCCAGCTGTTCCACTTCTGATTCCAGCTGATAGCCTGGGAAAGCAGTGGAGGATGGCCCGAGTACCTGGGCCCCTGAACCCACATGGGAGACCCAGAAAAAGCTCCTGGCTCCTGGCTTCGGATTGGCTCAGCTCCAGCTGTTGCATCCATTTGAGGAGTGAACCAGTGGATGGAAGACCTCTCTGTCTCTCCCTCCCTCTGTCTGTAACTCCACCTCTCAAATAAATACATAAATCTTAAAAAAAAAAAAAGACACTGAAAGTCTTGAATGACAGGTCAGTGGAAATCATCTTGATAGTCATAGATCCTTTGTCTCAGGATAGAAACAAATAGTAGGTGTTGAAATAGGATTGCAGAGGGCACCATGGCACAGTAGGTTAATCCTCTGCCTGTGGCACTGGCATCCCATATGGGTGCTGGCTTTAGTCCCGGCTGTTCTCTTCCAATCCAGCTCTCTGCTATGACCTGGGAAAGCAATGGAGGATGGCCCAAGTTCTTGGGCCCCTGCACCCACGTGGGAGACCGGGATGAAGCTCCTGGCTCCTGGCTTCGGATCGGTGCAGCGCTGGCCGTTGTGGCCATTTGGAGAGTGAACCAGCGGATGGAAGACCTTTCTCTCTGTCTCTCCCTCTCACTGTCTGTAACTCTACCTCTCTAAAAAAATAGGATTGCAGAAAAAGATGAATATCTACGTAGGTTTAGTAACAAAAAGCCTTAAGAGAAAATTTTTCACTGTTTTTTTTTTTTTCAGTTTTATTTATTTATTTATT